ACATCCTACCCTATTCGTTGCGGATGAAGTGGCGTGTCAGGCAGTATGAGTGTGCCATGGTGCCAAACCCGTTCTCTGCCAGTTGTTGAAGCGGGTATGCGACAACAGTTGGTAGAAAACGAGTGATACGAACGATATGATACAGTCTTGTCACTTGCTCGCTTCAACAACTCATGGAAACGGGTTTGGCGCGGCGCCAAAGCCATCACGTCTGCCATGCCCACCATCTGCGGCAACCTATACTATACCTACACAACATATCCCGGCGATGGAGTAAGCGTCGCTTTTCGTAGGATAACTCCATTCCGGCAACTGTCATCAGATCTTGCACATACATCAGAAGCAAGCCACTGTCTCAAATTGGAAAGATCCCATCAGAAGCGCCACCACCGCCACGTTCAAATGAAGACGCAGCCACGCCCTCCCAGCACTGGAATCTGGAGTGTATGTCGCTCAGAACAAACCATAGGCGGGCTGACTCTTGTTTATTGGTTGTTTTCCACCAGCGCCATTTTACCTGTATTCAAGAAATTGCCGAATAATTGCTTAATTTTTGGAGTAGAATTCTACATTCACTCGTAAGTTTAGAAAGAGTTCATCTCTGCATCAGCGTTTTGAGGGTACGGCGGCGTTTTGAGCATCTAGAGTGTACGACAGCGTTTTGGTATAGGTATCGATTCAGCGTATGCTAGCGTACAGTGGCGTTTTGAATGACTCACCAAAAGCTCAGACAGTCCGCGAGTATAGTGTAGTTCGCTGCAAACGGTTGGGCGTGTGAGGCGGGGCGAGGTTGGCGCGGTGCCATGTCCCACCAGTTGTTAAAGCGAGCAAATGAGCGTGTCGAATCGTTCGTATTACTTGTTTTCTACCACTTTTTGTCGCATGCGCGCTTCAACAAGAAGGCAGAGAACGGCGTGACACACTCATACTGCCTGACACGCCCAACCGTCCGCAGCGAACTAGGGTATATGCTCAAAACGCTGGTGGACGTTCAAACCTCTACAGCGATACCCCATTCCTGGTCGCTCGAAACGCTCAAAACGCTGACGCAAGGTATGAACGCAGCCTCACAGAGGCGCGACACTGCGTGCGGAAGTTTTCTTGTAGCAGCAGTAGCTATCGCCTTACTGCATGCTCTGGTGACCTAATCGATGTTCAAATATTTTCTGTTGAGTGTTGTAATCTGGTTTTTTCACCCAATTAATTACCGACATGAAAAGTGATAAACTATAATTTGACGACACGAGGCAGAAGCGCATTTTTCCGTGCAGAGCATTCGTGGCGTTCGAGAAGAAAGCGCTACTTATAGTCGCGTTCGCTTATAGTCGTTCCGAAGGTTGATGGGGCAAAGCAGCGCGGCTGCGCTTGGCGCGGTGCAACACGTTTTTTCTTTCGGCAAGTGGCAAGACTGTATCATATCGCTCTTCGTTCTCCACCAGTTTTACCACTTACACTCTCCAGGAACTAGCGGAGGAACTGGCGACGTTTCAAACGCAGCCGCTGACGCTTCATGATTCGCAGCCTGCAGACAAAGGGGTAGATTGCACATTGGAAAATAGGGCACACATCATTAACTTTCAAAACTGAAAGGACGCGTTCGGTTGGCGACGGGAGAATGGGAAAATTGGAGAATAGAACAGTGGAATCGACGTTTAAGGGTAACTTCAGTGAATGGGTATCGATCTGCCGCTGTTCTGGGAGAATAAGATAATTGGAGAACGGAGTATAGCTGAACCAGGAAACTGGAGAATAGTCGAAAAGAGAACTGGAGAATAGGGGAATCGGAGAATCGACCTGGGACGAAAGTGGCTT